ATGTGAGAGTGAGGCGTTTCCTGGAATATGGAGCTTGCAGTGGTAAAACTGGGACAGTCTCAGGCAAACCAGAACAGTTCATCATCCTAAGCAGAGGGTTCACTGAGCTACGACTTGAGGGGTCAGGAGCAACTTCCAGGATCACATGAAGCCCGAGATGGCCACGGAGGAGTTAGTGAGAAAAGGCTGATGAGGGAGGATGATCTAAAGGTAGCAAATGTGCCTGGAGTGGATTTCCAGCCTTGTTTCCAAAGATCTAGCTTGGCATGATGAAGCTTTAGAGGCTGTCAAGTCAATATTGGATTTATCAATAGACCAGTTTGGAATTACAGAATCCAAATAGCCCAGGCTCCATTTAGCTTCCACGGAACAGCATCTTGGAGTGTAAGGACTGGTTCTGAGAAAATAGTTTCACTCTAGTGTTTTTAAATGACACAATCTAGGGTGCATTTCCCAATAACCATTTTTCCAGAGGATTCTAATGAGGTTAATGGGTTCCATTTCAGGGATAGGAGGTAGGCCAAATGACATGTGGCCACCATCCACCCACACTTCAACAACAATACTGTATTGTTCTACTTCTTAATTTGCATAATGGGAATCTTGTTACTTTTTTTTTGTACACCCACCCCAAAGCATTATGCTGCTAAAAATAAAAACATAGTTTGAAAACCTCTGTTGCAGAGATAAAAGTAAGGCTGTATAGCCAGGAAGATTTAGGTTTCAACCCTGGTTCTTTTGTTTACTGGTTGTGTGATCATAAGCTAGTCACATAAATCCTCTGAGCTTTAGTTCATATGTAAAGTGGAGTTCCGTGGGAGGTCTTTAAGACCACCTTCAGATTCAATGACTCACTAGAAGGACTAAAAAATTTCAGAAAAAAAACTTTTATACTCATAGTTATGGTTTGTTACAGTGAAAGGATACAGATCAAAATCACCAAAGGAAAAGGTACATAGAAAAGAGTCCTAGAGAAACAAGTACAAGGTTCCTATTGTCCTCTCCCAGTGGAATCATATTGACAGCACTTAATTCTCCAAGAAATGATGTGTGACAACATGCACAAAACTTTGCCAAAACCGGAGACTCTCAGCCAAGCCTTGGTGTCCAGGGTTTTTATTTGAGGTCAGTCACGTCAGCATGGAGAGTCCATGTGACTGATCTTAACTACTCAGTCTTCAGCACCCCCAGAGGTCAAACTGATGCAAGCTAGACCTCAGGTGAACAAAAACAGGTGCTCACTTTAAATCACATTGTCAGCATAAGCAACCTAAACTATCTGCTATGGGGCTAAAGCTTCAGTCAGACGAAGACACTTTTACTAGGCAGGATATTCCAAAGGTGCAGAGGATACCTCTCAGGAGCTAGTCAAGGGCCAGTCCTTTCTTCGGAATGTGCAAGGTTTGAACACACCAAGTCTGCTGAATTAACTCTTTACTACATATGGGGATAATAGCCTTTACCTCACAAGAGACAGATACTTGTATTGTGGCACATAATGGGTGATGAACAAAAGGAGGCTTTCTTTACTCCTTGAATAATAAGTATCTTTGCCCAGGCTTTCCCTATGTAGTTCTACAGCTTCATATATTTTTCCTTTCCTTAGGTCCATCCAGGTATTTCCCAATGGGAAATGCTCTCTTTAAAGCCCCTCTTCCAAGAAGTCTTCCACAGTAATATTTTTTCTCACTCCTTCTGGGAGCCGCCCACAAACAATCTCTCATGGTTACTTTTACATACATATATACACACACACATATTATATATTTTTGTATATATAAAATATTTGTATATATTTGTGTATATATACAAAATATATATAAAATATTTGTATATAAAATATATATGTATATATAAATATTATTTTTGTAAATAAAATATACACATTGTGAACTCAAGCAATGCAGAAAAACATAAACAAAATATTCCCAACAAATTAAAAATCATTTCAAATGATCTCACCCAAAACTAACCATCAATATTCTAGATAAATACTGTTCCACATATTTTTCTATCTATAAATACAGATAGAGAATAGATTGATATATCCATTTCTAAAAATAGAATCATGCTATAAGCAGTATTTTTATTGAATGTTTACTTGAATTTACCAAAACAAAAAAAGTTAAAATGAAATGGAAGGAATTGCTAATCTTAAAATGTTTCTTTACTATAATAGATATTTAAAAACACTTCTGATGTTAGATAATAAAATTATGATGATCATCATTAGAAACATTAGATGTTTTTAAGCTAATAAGTTTCAATTTTACGCAGCATTGATTGACTCCTGTGAGCAATGAAGCCATTAGCACTCTCATGCTTCCTCCCTTCAAACCTCCCGCCACGTCCCAATTTTTGTTAGCTAGAGCATCATTTTACACTGTCAGGACTATAGTATTTGCATTCTGCTTTGTAGCAATAATTCTCACAATTTTTTAGTATTAGGTCTATATTTAAACGGATTCAATGTTCACTCTTACCACATCCTCCATTCCTCAGTGCTGTGCTTTGATTCATCTCTTAAGTGGCCTGATTTCATTTTTAAGTGATTTTTTTTCCCAGTAAGAGCTCAAGGGTGCAATATTTCCTGATTTATATGAGTTATTTAAGAATATCTGCCTGTTGTCCTATTCTTGAACAACATCTTGGTTATAACTGATATTACTGAATCACAATTTCCTCCAAAAAATGTAAACATTGGACTGGGTACAGTGGCTCACACCTGTAATTCTAGCACTTTGGGAGGCTGAGGCGGGGAGATCACAAGGTCAGGAGATCGAGGCCATCCTGGCTAACTTGGTGAAACTCATCTCTACTAAAAATACAAAAAATTAGCCAGGCATGGTGGCACTTGCCTCTAGTCCCAGCTACTTGGGAGGCTGAGGCAAGAGAATTGCTTGAACCCAGGGGGCGGAGGTTGCAGTGAGCCAAGATCATGCCACTGCACTCCAGCCTGGGCAACAGAGCAAGACTGCATCTCGAAAAAAAAAAAAATGGAAAAAAAAAATGTAGACATTTGTCTATTACCTTCAACTACTGAATTAATGCTGTGATCAGTCTTCTTGTCTCCTGCTTCTGCGACTTACTTATTCTTCTGGGATGCCTGAAGAGCTCATTATTTTTCTTGGAAGTTCAGCAACTAAAGCAGGATATGTCTCCACATTGCAGGCCCTCTCTGCTTAGCGGCTCTCCATTAAATTGTTTTGAAGCAGAGCTAGTTCTGTTAATCTGCAAAGTCATGAATTTTTTATTTCATTATATCTTTGAATAATTTTTCTGTTCTATTTGCTGGGTTCTCCACTTCAAAGACTTCAATTATGCACTGATAACTCACAAATTTATATCTTTAAGCCAAAGCATCTCTCAAAATTCCAGAATTGTACATCTAACCACCTCCTATATCTTCACTTCAATTATGCACAAATTTAACACACCCAAATCCAGACTTTGGTTCCCATCACAAACCTGCTACTACCAGAATCTCCCCAGTTTCATAAATCGGGACTTTATCCTTCCAAATTCTAAGGCCAAAACCTTTGCAGTTACCCTTGCTTGGTTCCTCCCCTTCTTTCAGACTCCATATCTGATCCTACAAATCCTCTGATCTCTTCCTTCAACAGATCCAGAATGTGACTGCTTCTCACCAACCTCCCCTCTGCCCTGCTCTATCCCAACATCATTTCTTGCTTCATTTACTGCAACAATCTCCAAACTGCTCTCTCTGCACACCCTCTCGCTTCACAACAGTCTCAATTCAACAATTCATCCACAGTGACCCTGTCCTTTTCCATTCAAAGCATTCTATGGAATTCATACCCAACCCCTGCCATGGCCTACAAGGCAATGCTCATCTGGCTCCTTCCACTTCTCTGGCCTCATCTCCTAGCACCTTCCCCATTCTCTGTTCCCTTCACAATGGCCCCCATGAAGCTCCCAAATGTATCAGCATGTTCTCACCGAGGCCTTTGCATTTGGGTTCCTTTTTCCTGAAACTCACTTTCCCTAAATGCCCGCGGGCTGGTGCCCTCACTTCATTCAGGTCTCACCTCCAGAGTTGCCCCATGAGGCCTTCTCTGAACATCTTTATAAAATAGCTACAGCCCCACCACTGTCCTCTCCAACTTTCCTTTGCTTTCTGTTTCTCCTTGGCGCTTATCATCATGTGACATGTTGGCCTGTCTATGTTTATTGTCTGTAAATGCATTGATCTCACAGATGTACTCTATAATATTTGCTAAATGAATTGAATAATTGTTAGATTTATCTTTTTCTGCCCTATCAGCATCTATCCAGTTACTTTTCTTGCTCTTTTTAATCCACTTTCATTGGTGCTGTTTTCAAGCCTTTTTGTATTTTCAATAATTAAATTTTCAGTGATGTCTCTTCCCTTCTTTAGTTTTTTAATTTTATTTTTTAGTTCTGTACTGAAAGCATGTTATTCTACCATTTTTCTTCCTTAGGGCTGCAATGTCCCTCTGCATCATGTTCCATTGCTTTAGTAGCTCATCTTTGAGCATTTGTTTTTATTGAATTCACACTTTTACCCAGTTGCTCAATAACTAGAAGCACATGGGGAATTGCCTTTGGTTCCTTGGGTTATGTTTTCTTCTAGACTGAATTCTCTATGTTTTGGATGAAACTTTCTTTTTCTTTACTTTTTCTTGTAGCTTATTTCTATAGTTGTCATACTTTTTTTATTCTTTTCTTTTTTTTTTCATCTTGCTCTTACTGACTAGTTCTTAACAGTGCTTCTCTTTGTTCCAATGTGACTTTTAAGACTAATAGTTTCTCCTCAACATGCATCTTTGAGGATAGCTACTGTGTGTTCCTTTTGGTGTATCTTTTCAGAATGGTGACGGTTGGAGGAGAGGGTCAGGGAAGCTCAGTTGACCAAAGTGCAAGGTTCTATTAGATGTGACACCCTTGGGATCCCTGGCGGCTCCTCTCTCTTCTGACACTGTGTTCAATGCCCTCTTCCAGTGTTTACTTACTTGGTGGGCTGGGGGTATTAAGCTATTCCCAGCAGGGAGAGGAATGCCTCTGGCTTCATTGCTTTGATTCAGCATGGAGCCTCAGAGTCCTCACGGCATCAGAGCACATCACTCTTTGGGACCTCTTTGCCTTCCATTTGTCATTAGACTTGCCCTTGCAGCTTTTCTCACTGTTTCAAGTATAAGAAGAAAAAGATATTAAGTTCGCTTCTCTCCAGGTTTGGATAGTCTGTGTGAATATTCTTATATAAGTTGCTAGGGCTGCCATAACAAAATACCATAGACTGGCTGGCTGAAACAACAGAAATGTATTGGTTAACATTTCTGGAGCCTGGAAGTTTAAGATCTCAAGGCCAGCAGGTTGGTTTCTCCTGAAGCCTCTCTTCTTGGCTTGTAGATGGCTGACTTCTTGCCATATCCTCAGATGGCCTTTCCTCTGTGTTCATATCCCTGGAGTCTCTTCGTCCTCCTCTAAGGACACGAGTCTTATTATATTAGGGATCCCACCCTAATAGCCTCATCTTAACCTAATTATCTCTTTAAATACTTTCTCTCCAAAAATAGTCACATTCTGAGGCACTGAGAGTTGGGGGGCTTCAACATATGAATGTGAGGGAGGAGGTTACAATTCAGTCTATAACAATTCTCAACATGTAGTTGACTTCTTGGTTACCATGCCTGGGGTGAGAGCTCCATTAGGGGCCTCCTCAAGGTCCTCCCTGCACCCAACTGTGCTCCTGTGCTTCTCTCTTTATTCTCCTGGATTCATGTCATTGGGCCATGATTGAATTCCTTTGACTATTTGTTCATTTTGTTAGGAACCTATGGTGGGTGCAGAGGAAGACTGGGCATTGAGAGTTCTGATTCAACAGATTTGTTTTCTGTTATGAATCCATTCTGAGCACACTCTAAGGACCAGGCATAAGGCTGTTGTGCCAGGCTCTGGGCCACCACTTTAAGAGGGTAGCACATCCTGAGCCCTATTGCTCATACTTCCTTCCTGTCTTCTTCTCTCCCCAGCCTGATTATGACCTGCTGGGGGAAAATTTCCTCATCTTTCCTCCTCTGATCTGCTGCTGTCTAGCCCAGTTCTTTGCCTGAAGTTGGGGATATTCAATAAAAATCAATTAGAAAAAAGAAATGGACACAAGAACTCTAAAAGCTACTGTCACTGTGTTACTTGTTCTTAGCCCCAAAGAAAGAAAGAAAAAAACCTGCCCAGTTTTCTTCTGATTTCAAAGGAGGGGTGAAGAAAAGAAAGACTCACATCTGGCCAAGTTTTAAGTATGAACATTTTGCATAATCAACTAGAAACCCTTTGTTAGCAGGCCAGATGGTTGCTGCACCCCAAAAGGAAATTAAGTACGTAGGCAGTGGCAGTTGATGGGAGGAATTAGAAATTCTTTTCTAAAGAGAAAGGACTTCATCTGGAGTGGGCTGGTTGGTGTGGTTAGTAGTGGCCATTGGTTTCCCAGCAACCAAGCCCTTTCCGTTTCAGAAATATTTCAGCACCCAATCTTTAAAGGATTGCCATAGATACTGGAGGATGCACCCACCACCCATAATGCCTTTCAGAAGAACTGGAAAAGCCAGACCAATAAGGATAGGCCAACCCAGCTTACCTAGTGCCACTGATATCAATGGGACTAGCCCTTGCACATTTGGCCATGAGTCCTTTGCCTAGACAGGTTACAGTGTCCAAATTCAGAACTCTGAAATTATTCTTGACATATAAAGGGTTTCTAAGGCAAATCCAGCATACTTTTCTGCCCATAATTCAGAGTGTACACTCATCACACTTGTTCAACCTTCAACATCCTGGATTATTGCAGCCACTCCCTGACTGATCTTCTGCCCCTAAGCCATTCTTCCTCCAGTCTATCCTGCTCATGCAGCTGGAGTCATCTTTGCAAAAGGAAATTCTACTCATTTCTGTCTCACAAGACCTCTTGTGATATGGCTTTTGCTTAAATCCCCAGCCCTTTCATTCTTCCATACGCAACCTTTGCTTAGGACAGATTATACTATTCATAGTTCCTTGGACACCAGGTGGTTTCCCATCTCTATGACATAGGACATGCTTTTCCTTCTGCAAGTTACACTTAACTTAAACTTCTAAAATTGCTCAATTCCTCTGGGAAGTGTCTCCTCGCTCAGTTTCTATGCCTACTCTACTTCATGTTTCCCCTCTTTGCTCCTACAGAACTCTGGGTTTACATCTGTCTTAACACTAAGAAAGATGTGCTCTTACTTGTCTGTGTTCCCAACTTGATGTCACTTTTCCCCAAATTCTCCTTACCCAGCACAGGGTCTAGTACAAAGTAGATGCTGAGTAACTCCATTGAATGAATGAGCAAATAGTGAAGTAGTCAGTATGACTTGGCTCCTTCCTAAAGCTTCTCATGTATGTTTCTGGGTCTTCTCTAGACTAGAACTCTGCTTTTATGAGAAGTCAGCTGAATGCTATAGAAAGGAGTATAGTTAAGTGACTTAAAGCTTTAGGCAACTTCACACCAAAACTTGCATTCTAACCTCCCTGAACCTGTGGTCTAGAAGGGACGTATCAGCAAGATGATAACCAAAAATGTCTAGAATCTGAGATGGTTCTAAAAAACCTAAGATATTACCTGAAATAATCACTCATCTAGTAGAAGAGTGGACTCTTTATAAATGATTCCAGAGATGTGTTTTAACCACCTTCCATATCCTTGAGCACAGGACCCACTCAGGGAACAAATTCTGTTCTACAGCATGTCTAATTAAAGTCTTAACAAAACAATTTCTATCTTGTTATAAAATCCAGTCAGTTTCTGTGCATTAGTCGCAGCTTTTTGCAGGTGAAGTGTATATCTCCTTGACAGTTGGCTGAAATCTGCTTCCATATGTCTTCCTCATATTGGCTTGAACTTTGGCCTTTGTAGCATCCCAAAGAGCATTCTTTTCTTCCATGTTACTCTCAAAAGACTAGAAGGCTGCATTCATGTTCTCTCTTGGGCTGTTGTTCTTTAGGATGAATTCTTTGGGTTCCTTCAACTGCTCCTCATAAGATGTGGCTTTCAGATATTTCCTCATCTTATCACCAGGCTTTATATTTTTATCATAGGTATCCTGCCCAATCAACAAGAAATTACCAAATTCCAATTGTCAAGACTGTAAAGGTCTGAGATTTTACACTCATTTCAAGTTAACAACTTAAGCTGCCAAAGTTTTATGGATGCTGGCAGAAGATACAAGCCTCCTGGGTCACAAACAAGGACAAAACAGCCACAGCAATAGCTGAATTATCACCAATGTAGGTGCCAGCTCCCCAAGCCTCAATCCCCACAGAGAGATGTGAAGAGGACCAGATAACACCTGCACAGTGGGTTGCATTACAGAGGAGGGGCCATGAGTTTAAGAAATCCCATCTGTTATAAAGATTGGGCAACCCTGTCCAACCTTTCTCCTGAAGGGAGACATTATCTTTATCTTCCAAGGCTCTTTGCTGTACAAACTTACTCAAAAAGATAATTCAGAAAAGGTTTCCAATACCCCTACTCATAGGATGTGCAGAAGTGTGAGAGCTCCATGGAGAACACCAGCATTCAGGAGATGAAACAGTTCTTTGGCTGTAAGTGGACCATACAAAGGAGACAAATTGGAAACAGCTCTGGTCTCTGGAAACAATAGCATGAGCATCATCTTCAGGTTCATGGAGCAAAAAGACCACCTCAGAAAAGCTGTGGTCTTGAATTATGGAGGACAGCAGACACTGGACTTATATCCACTCATTTATTATTTATGCGCACTTTTCCTTCCTCTATTTAAATGTCTATTTAGTAAAACAGGGGTCAGAAACCATGGGATGCCCTTGGGAGTGAATTCTGGGTCCATGTGGCTAGTGGCACTTTTATTTATTGCTTTAATTATGCTTATTGTATCCAGCCCACAAGACCAGGCAAAGGGCATGTGTCCATGAAAAACGGGTTTATTATGGAAATTTTTAGTGACTTTTTATGAACACAACAGTATAGAGCTAGCTTAATCCTAGGCAGAACAGTCATGAAATATGACAACAGTTTTTTTCAGAATTTTCAGGTCCATTCAGTCTGTTGTACATCTTTGGATTTCAGAATAACTTGGGTTTTATTCATTGATTCATTCAACAAATAGATATTGAACTATATCAGGCACTACGTGAAATGCTAAAGATAGAGCAATGAAAAAGACAAAACCCTTAACCACCCACATGGAAATTACATCCTAATGTGGGAGACATAAAACTAACAGGTAGTTACATAGAGAAATAATCTCAGGTAGAATGGGTCTGGAGAGTGATGCTAGCAAGATGGCAGGATAGGAGTTTCTAGTGCTTATCTAATTGCAGAAACATTAATTTGAACCACCATGCATGCATAAAAGCAACTTCATAAGAGCTGAGAAATCCAGGTAAGAGATTTCATCATCCAAGTGTAGCACAGAAATAAGAAAAACATTGAAGATGATAGGAAGGACAATTTCACATTACCCACTTTACCTCTTCCTTTCCTCAAGCTCACACAGCACAGTATGGAGAGAGATGTCCTCCAAGTGGGGAAAGGAGAACAAAGTGAGAACCCAACTTCACTGTGGACCCCAGCACAGGCCTGCCACAGTGACTCATGGCACCAAACTGACCACTGTGAACCAGGCGTCAGGCCCACCCCAGGGCCAAGCTGGCCCCTGAGGTCCCAAGTTCCAAGGCAATCCCTGAGACCCGGGCACCAGTCTGGCTCCCACCAACCCAGACTGTAGGCCCACTCTAGCACAAGGCTGGCCACCACAGTGTGAGGCTCCAGGCCTACCCTATTGCCAGGTCATCCCCTACTGACCCAGACCCCCAAGCCAACCCCATAGACCCAGACAATAGACTGACCCTCAGATACCTAGCTTCCAGACCAGCCTCTGCAGACCCAAACTCCAGAATTATTCCAGCACCAGATCATCCTTGGAATCCCCACATGCCAGAATGGCACCCATGGACCAATGCTCAAGACTCACTCCGGTGGACCTCATCACTAGGTTGACCCCTGAGTACCCAGCTCTATGCCCACCCTCATGGACTGGGGCACTAAGCCAGCTCACCTTAAGAAACATAGCTGTGAGCTCACCCACAGATCCTGCCATCGAGCCCACTGCGAGTCTCTGGATA